CAATAGGCATATTAAAGTCTAAAAATATCAGCGAACTTAAAAATGCAATTAAGACGTCTTAGGAAGAGATAAACACGGATATGACAATGAGATTGGCTGAAAGTTTTCAAAAACGAGCTATTGCTTATGACAAAGGCAAAGGTGAATCAACAAAATATTGAATGACTAATGGTGCTTTTTTTAACAAAAATGTTTAAAAAACTATAAAATAGTCAAAGTTAAACTTAGTTTAAGAAAACAGAAATGTAAAATAATTTTTAAAAATACAGCTATCTTATATATAATATCGACTTGTCTTAATTTTTGTCATTTTGACCAAATTAATGTGGTGCGTTTTTTTGACAAACTGTATATACATACATATATACATATATATATATATATTGAATTGCTATAAGTAAATGCATATGTGTGCACATATTACTCGGTCCAAACAAGTGTTAAAGTTGGCCTCTGCCTTCTCAGCAGTTGTTTTGGAAGACCATTGTCTATAATGCTGCAGTCCTCGGCATACAATCTTCCTACTTTTATGCAAGCTTGCTGGCATTTGGTCTTTCATGACAGGTATATTATCAGAACTGGACAGAGATCTAAACAGAATTTACGATAGCGATAGTGTACCGAAGAAATAAAGATTTATACACAAACCACCCTTTCTAATTCAGTTTTCCCATACATAGAATATTTCTTATCTCTTTGCTATAGCCCTTCTTCAATCCATCTATCCGGCCCAAAGTATAAAAAGCTACAAGTGTGTTGATCATTCCCTTCTTTTACAACCAAAGTTAATCCTACATATAACGTCCGCAAGGGCCCAAAGTTATTTTAAATATATTAAATTATCTAAAGCCGAAAAGATAATCAACATAGTTATTATTACTATTTTATATACTAAGGCCATCTGGGTCCATTTAGAATAATTTTGATGGAATAAATTTCCATAAAAAGTAATTTTCTTAATTTTTGAATTAATTGGTCTTCTCAGCTGGCCACTATGCGTAAGTGAATAATGTAAGCTTCCTAGGTTTGTGTAATTTTAATGTGAACAATTTAGAGCCGCTTGCTGTCTAATGATGGACACTATAAAAACTAACTAATTTAGTTTCCCCAAGAGCATTGTAAACACAATTTTTTACATTTACAGAGTCGATCTCAAATTCCTACTCGATTCTGCTGCTGTTTGCCTCCTCTGCTGTGGTGAGACATTTCATGAGATCGTTGCTTTGGGCGATCGGCTTTCAGCTGGTATAGAAAGTCTACATGCTAGTTGTGCCAGCATACTGCAGCTGATCCTTGCTCTACCCACGGAGTAAGTTTGGCCTACTCAAGGACTATAATATTTGTCATAAACCAGACCAACTTGCATCATATCATCAATTTTATGGATGAAAGTAGAAAATTGGTGGCGCTTCTCACCCATTTATTTTATTTTAGGCAATTGATTGTTCTTCCTCGTCGATAGGTTTGCTTGGACTTCAGGTTCAATGAGTTGCTACTTTTTCATGCATAAAAGAGCTTGGGCCTATAAGATCCAAGGATAAACGAATGAGTTGCTATTTTGTTACTTGTCACTTTGATAAGTTGTAATTCTGTGTTAAGGATGGCACCTCTCAATGAGTATGCCGACTTCGATGCCGGCGAAACGACTGAGAATGTAACAAGTCAATGGTCCAAAGATGTAAGTCATCATGAATAATGTGTCAGAGGACTCAAACTATGTATGTTCCCCAAGATCTCTCTGTCGCTCATACCAAATTGCGAAAACGAGGTCAAGCCAACACTATACAGTTAAGGAAGACTGCGACCAAACAAAAGGCCACATCATCTTGCTCTTTATAATTACACAATAAATTGATTATTCACCTCCAAACGAAAATAATAAAATTAATTCTGGCTGATATTGCCCCGATGGTCATTCATTCTGGTGGACCGGAAACTTTATCTTGGAAACAGCCATGTTGGTAATTTTAAAATAGAATCCGAAAATCCAATCGGTTGCAGAACAGCGACTAGTCATGGAAGGTCCTCAATCGATGTCATCATATGAAATTAGATTTTCCCCGAGTTTTCCATCCAGGCTACTGCAAGTGCTTTTGAGTACAAGCAAATGATTTTCAAATTAGAAATACCGTCACGATAAATAAAATTGATATTCAATTTTTGTCTTCTGACCAAATTTAAATCATTTTTTATAGAATCCGATGCATGGCTCCTTATGATTCCAAAGTTTGGGAAATTTTTGAAACCAAGCGATCTCTCTCCGACTGGCTGGTGCTCTCGAGAACAGACCTATTTCCTGAAACCCCACTGAAAATATGGTTAGATTTATAATAATTCGCCTTATAACTGGCATATTGTTATAAAAGTTAAAC